AATTTCTTCTTTGGAGAACTGTCTGTTCAGCTCCTCTGCCCATTTTTTAATTGGATTATTTGCTTTTTGTTTGTTGAGGTGCATGAGCTCTTTATATATTTTGGATGTCAACCCTTTATCGGATCTGTCATTTATGAATATATTCTCCCATACTGTAGGGTACCTTTTTGTTCTATTGATTGCGTCCTTTGCTGTACAGAAGCTTTTCAGCTTGATATAGTCCCACTTGTTCATTTTTGCTTTTGTTTCCCTTGTCCTGGGAGGTATGTTCATGAAGAAGTCACTCATGTTTATGTCCAAGAGATTTTTGCCTATGTTTTTTTCTAAGAGTTCTATGGTTTCATGACTTATATTCAGGTCTTTGATCCATTTCTAATTTACTTTTGTGTATGGGGTTAGACAGTGATCCAGTTTCATTCTCTTACATGTAGTTGTCCAGTTTTGCCAGCACCATCTGTTGAAGAGACTGTCACTTCCCCATTGTATGTCCATAGCTCCTTTATCGTATATTAATTGACCATATATGTTTGGGTTCATCAAGGTGTTTTTAAAGGTGAGGTTCATTGTATGATAACTTACAAAAGAAGTAAGCGAAGCTATAGCTCATATTGCAAAATTGTTGGTGACAGATGGCAACTACACATCATAGTGAGCATTTAATACTGTATCTAATTGATGAATCACAAACTCGTTCATCTGAAACCAATAAAATATTGTATATAAGCTATATTTCAATTAAAAATGTTTAAAATAAATAAATAAATACTAAAATAAGGAAGGAAAAAAAAAAGAAATAGGTACTCAGATCAAGTGATCTGCCCAAGGTCACACGGCTCCTCAGTGGTGGACTGCGAGGTGGACCCATATTCATCTCCTTCCAAGACTGCCTCCTCTCCACAAGCCCAAGTTGTTCTCAGAAGACTAGAGTGAGAGAAAATGAGAACGGAGTGGAAGCCCTTGATAAAAAGTTATAGCCTCATTAATCAAGGAACCCGGCTATTCCCCTAAACCCCAATTAATGAACATCATTATTACTATTGATGCATCCATTCAACTCTGATCTTCACTGTGTTAAGAACTGGGGCTCTAAAAACCAAAACAAAGCCAACAAACAAAAAGCAACAGGTAGTAATTTCACACCTTCCCTAAGGGTCGTGTCTTCCACAGCTTAAAATAACAAGGTTGTCTGCTCTGGATCCTGGATGACAGCCCTGCAGGGTAGGCAGGTGTCTGCAAGGGGTGGGGCGACATGGAACCCTCACTACGACAGACCAGGAAAATGCGAGCCAATCCCCTGGGTGGGGGTGCGGACAGGGCTCCGGTCAACTGTGTGCCCAGGGAGAAGCACACTAGCTTTGGAGTCCAACCAGCCCTGATTCAAATTCTGCCTCTCCCACTCCTTACAATGAGGACTTACACAGTCACTTAAGCTTTCTGCACCTCAGTTTCCTGATCTATAACATGGGTAACAGCATTCATCTCAGAGATTCAATTTTTTATGAAGATCAAGTGGATGGCAAAGTTCCCATTACAATAGCTGACACATCACCGACAACCAGTGAATAAGAAATAATGATGACAATAACCATCAACAATCATTACTAGGCTCTCAGACTTCATATACAAAAGATAACACAAAAATAATTTCAAAGTGAACCACAGCTATTACAGGGATTAGAGGAAATACTCACATCTTCTCTCTAGTAGTTTAATATTTTTTCCCAGTGGACCACCAAGTAAGTCTTGATCAGACAGCTGGCTCGGTAGGCATGAACCAAATAAAAGCAAGGGCCTTCCTTCCTTCCTTCTTTCTTTTACTTGTTCACCCAGTGAAGGCGCCATTCTGGAGATTCAGGGGCAGACTGGACAGGCGAGCTTTGCTCTCCTGGAGCTTCAGAACTGGAAGGGCAGGCAGGCTGTAAACACGTAATCACATAGGCCACTAAGACAATTTAGATACACTGTGAGTAGATGTGAGTGAGTTGGGTGGTCATTTCCACAGGGCGGCAGGGAAGTCCTCCTTGGGGTGGTGACAGCTAGGTGCGTTCTGAGACCTGAAGAAGCCAGCCTCGTGGAGATGTGGGGGAGTCCCGGGCCAAAGCCATGGGGCAACTGCTGATTCCCTGCAGGGTTGTGGGCGCTTTGCCAACACCTGAGGAAACGACATTCTTAGATGAGTTCAGGAAGGCAGGCAGGGACCAACTCACCAGGAGATGAGATGGTCCCGAATGAAAAGTTTCAATTGTAAGTGCAATGGGAAGCTTGGAGCAGGTTCTTTAAAGTTAGTTAGATGACACAAATATTTAAAGTTATCAGGCTAAGATCAAATTGAGGCTAGCTTTGCCACTGGGCTGTTAATAAGCAAAGTCCGTTGGCCAAGGCTGTCCCCTCTGCAGAGGGCATGGGTGGGCAATGCCTGCCTTTGCCTCATGAGTCTCCAGTTTGGAGTTTCCAAGATTAATTCTCTTTAGAAATCAACATACTATTTGTTTGTATTTATTAACACTCCCAATCCCTTTAAAGCCCATTTCTGCTTGCTTGGGACCCACATTTCCTCTGCCTGCCCATCTGAAATCCCAGCTCTGATCTGTTCCATGTTCATTTCAGCAGGCAATCTAATTTTCCTTATTTCTTGCTTTTCATGGTACCCCTAGGTATACCATTTTTGTTTTTACCCCTACTTTTTCAGATAAGGAACCCAAGCTCAGGACCTTGTGCAGAGTCCTCGTGTGTTGGTAGCAGAGCCAGGGTTTTCACCTAAGCTCATCTGACCCCTCACCCTGAGGGGACCGGGGGATCAAGACGGGCTTTGGGAGAAATCTGAGTAGGAGTGTGAAAATGCACAGGTAATGCTGGTCACTCAGGAGAACAGGGGATATAAAGAAGCCAGACGTAACAGCAGCAGAGGAGGCACTTGGAAACTCAGATAAAGCAAGGAGAGAGAAAAAGGCATGAGAGCCTTCCAGTTTCTGCCATCTTTATTACAATCCACGGTGGGCAGGTAATGAAGAGAGGGAGGTTGAGGGTGTGACTCAAGCAGCTAAAAGTGTCAGGTGTCTCTGAGATGAACTGGGGTGGGAGGGGAAACAAGGAACATAGCAACCGACTTTGCTCAAAAGCAAAGATGTTAGAAGGAGCGATTAGGCAGATAAAGGGAGACTGTGTATATGGGGGCCTTATGGAAGTAGTAAATTGGGAGGATAAAGCTGCAGCAGGTCCAGCAACTGATCTTGGTAGGTGGAAGCTTCTGGAAACTGTAGACACTTTAGCTTCTTAGGGGGATTATTTCTTCGTTATTTTAAATGCAAGAGAAAACATAGCAAGAATAAAGGAAAAATGGTTCTAAATGACTCGTAATTTAATATGCCTTTCTACTTTTTGCATGTCGTATATTTTTTTTGTATTGTTGCAATCACAATGCCCATGATAATTTTATTTCCTCTTGGCATCATAGAGTAGTAAATCCTTTTTTTGTGTGTTTCACGATTTTGAAAAATAATATTCCACCCTATTGAGGTCTCATCATCTAATTATTATACTATTTGACTAGTGTTAGATAATTTCTGTATCTTTATACCTTTCAGGCAATTGTATTCTTAAGAAGTTCTAAAATTCAGTGATATTTTAAACAACCCAGGTGATGATAAAGGCCTAAATAGTGGCAGTAGAGGGGACAGTGGATTTAAATGATGTAAAATTCACAGGATAGGACATGGAGACCACAGGGACATTGGGAATGAGGGGAAGTTGGCATTAAAGATGACTATAAGGGCATGGAGAAGACAAGTAATGACTCTATAGCATCTTATTATGCTCACAGACAGTGACTGCTCAGCTGGAGCAAAAGGTCCATAGAAAATTTAGTTCTAATGGTAGGTCAAAAATTGGTCCAACTAGGAAGAAGGGAAGGGGTATCTATGGAAAATGATGTCACTACACAGGGAATCGACTCTGCAGTGAGTTCTGATTCTAAAAGAACCCAATCAAAACATGGGACAAAAACAAGGAATAGGAAAAATAGGCAAAGGACGCTTAGAAGGGTGCTTTGTCAGCTGAGGAAATGAATGAAAAATGTCAGATGACATTACAAATAAGATGAGGGACTTCTCAGGAATGTTTGCAGAATGAATAAAAAAGAGGTATGGACCCACGGGAGAGGACCATGACCAGGGCAGAAAACCAAAAAGCCGGCCGACTGTCACAGCAGAGTGGCTCCTGAGGGATGTTGGAGAGCACATGGCACCACCAGGGATGACGGGCGGGCGGGCTCAGTGAACAGGCAGCAACCGGGCCCAACGCCAACATTACGCCACAAAACCAGTCTGGGGAGGTGTTGGCTGTGGAGGCTGTTCAGCAGTGGATGTCATCACCCATCTTGCCACCTGCACACGGCCTCGGGAGCTGCCAGGGCTGCTGCCCACGGCCCCGCTGGATGGCAGGGGCAGTGCCTCTCCTGGAGGGAAGTTAGGTAACCTACCTCGCTCCAGCTGCATGGAAGGTGGAGGAGCCCGGATCAGTTCAAAGTCTGTGATGGGAAATGAACTCTGCTTCCATAAGGGTGGAGAATTTCTCAACTGGTGGAATGGGCGACAGACCAAACTCAGTAGAATGAAAAGGGTTTAATGGTGAATTAGATACAGAGGCGAAGGAGAGGGGAGTGCCTATGATGCCTTTTGAATGCCTGTGGCTACAGCAATCAGATGAGTGGCAATGTCATTAACCAGGCTAGGTCATCCAGGAGGGGAATGAAAATGACAGGTTAGTCATTTTTGACATGCTGCCTTGAAGGGTCTAAGAGATACACAGCCAGGGATTGACAAATGGACAGCATTTTCCTGAAGTGGTGTGCTGGTAAATGACTAACAACAGGCTCTCCAAGAAAAAGCAGCTCTGATCTACAGCATTTCCAATTTCTGTGGTGCAAATACACACGCCATGGCCAAGTTCAAGGTACTAACATGAGGTTACCAAGGTGGGTTTGGAGATGTGCACAGCCAGCCCCTGCATGGCCCAGCATGCTGTGACTGCTGGTGAGGCTGAGGTCTCCCACAGAGCAGAAGCCGAGAACACAATCTTCAGGGGCAGTCTCAAGAGGAGCTCCTACAGGCACAGGAGCTGTCAGAAGGAAACCAAGAGAGGATGGGCACCAAGATCAAGCCCAGATCTGGGCCGTCAAGCTCTTCAGAATAAGTACCGATAATTCGTTTGTTTTCTTAGTGATCTCCTACTAGACTGTGAGCTATTTGAGGGAAGAAACTAATTCAGCTGTGTTCTCTAGGTACACAGTAGGGATCTAGCAAATTCCACTAATTATCTCACAGAAGACTTATGTCCACTAGTTTCAGGAAGCAGCAGCAGACTAACTGGATTTCCATGTTCGAAGGATGCCTCTTGGCTCCTAGCAAGTCTTCAAGCAGACACTTCTGGTTCTCTGTCCCACATCACTCCTGTTCTCCTGGCAACTATTACCCTACATTCCAACTCTGAGGTTCTCAAGGCAGTCACTATTTTTCCATGACTCTACCAATTAGTCCAGGTATGCGCACTGACCCAGGTGGGGTTTTTGGAATCAGAACGCTGGCTGGGGGAGGAGGTGGCAGAGGAAATGTCAGCATCCAGTTTTCCTGCTGAATGTACGTAGCTCGTCCCTGTGGAACAGCAGCAGCGAGAGTCCTGCAGCAACATCCCAGCTCCATCCATCTATCCTTAGGTCCAGTTGTACCCCCACCCTTTCTTCTGTTACACTCCATAGCCCCCCAACTCTCCAATAATTTTCCTTTCATCTAAGTGGAAGCCAGATTTCTGTACTCCGCCACCAAAAGTCCTGATTAATATCCAAGCAAGTCTCCAAATACATAATGTCTGTGCAAGAATGTGCCCTTTGATGCTGATGCAGTCTGAATGACCATTAAAAAGGGGTTTAAAAGAGGGGATTTCTGCCAGCAATGGCAGCCCTAAAGTAACGGTGATAGTGGTAGTTACCTTCCTGTGAGTGTGTTCATGCTGGCTAAATCGGGGAGCTGGGCTGGATCCAGGATTGTTAAGACTTCAAAGTTCTTAATTACTAAACTAGAGGTTCTCAAAATTTTTGTCTCAGAATCCCTTTTAAAATCTTAGAAACTGAAGACCTCAAAGTTTTTGTGTGGGTTACATCTATAGATATTTACGAGAATGGAGATAAAAACCGAGAAATTTTAAAGATTTCAAAAAGAACAAAAACCTATCACGTTAACATAAATATTTTTATTAAAAACAACTATTTTTCATATGAAAAAAATTAGTAGTGTGGCACAGCTTTACATTTTGCAAGTCTTTTATATCTGACTTAATAGAAGACAGCTGGATTCTCATGGCTGCTGCTTCATTCCACACATTGCTTTGAAGTATATAAGAAAAAGCTGGCCTCACACAGGCATGCAGTTGGAAAACTTCTTGAAGCTTGGGAAAGGGTTTCAGGTACCGCCAACAGTCCTCAGACCATACTTTGAGAACCCCTGCAGGAAACTACACTGCTTCTCAAATAAAGACTCTACGTCACCACTGAATCGTATCAGACGTGACAATTCCTTCTATGGCGTAGGTGTTTTAAACAAATTGCAAAGGTAGTGGTGAAGGAAACCTGAATTCTCTTGCTAACTTTAAGTGACAACAATTTTCAGCTTGAGTTCATAAATTATTCTTTTGCCAGTAAGATTATATACTGAGAGTTTTTCAAGCTTGCTTTTCTAAAGTAAGACAAGAACGCAACATGTCACTCACAAAGTTAATGTTTGTATAGTGGTTTTACAGCTTTACAAAGCCTCTTTCTGAGCCCTTATGATGCCACTTAGTCCTTAAAAGCCATTTATGA